GCATTCCTATATTTCATTATTCGCCCTTGTTCCTCTTCTAGGCACTTACAATTCAGCCAGGAGGATGTGGAAACCCAGTTACAATATGACACATGCCTCCGTGTCACAATCGCACTCTCGGGCCCTGCCTCCTGGAGGCATCTGGACGGGGGCAGAGGGGGGAGGAGGGGAGCTGGTGTGGACAGAGGGCCGGACAGAATGCAGAAGTTGGGGCTTCTGGAAACCCAAGGGCTGGCGATCGCTGGGATGGTTTTCCTCGGAAGCCTGGAGTTTCCCATCCGCGGCCGGATTCCAGCTGGGGCCTGAGGCCGCGAGCCTGCAGGTGCGTGTTTCTGCTTCGGGAGCCTCTTCCCTCCAGGCCACCCCATGGCCCCCAGTGTCCCTCTGTCTGTGGGGTGTGGGGACAGTGTCCTCTGCCCAGAGTCCCCCTGCCCCTGGCCACCTCCATCCTGACCTTGACCCCGTTCCCCCAAGGGACCCCCGACTTCATCTCGGTTGCCCCATCGTCCCCCTCTGCAGCCCCACGGTCTAGGCAGTGGGGAGGACCACCCGTCACACACACGCCGCCATCCCTGCATTGCTGCCCTTCCTGGAAGCCAGACCTGTGTCCCCTCTCCCACCACGCTGTCCCCACGGTGGACACAACCATCTCCCTGAGAACGAGGACTTCCTCTCACGCTCTACTCCCTGGGGGCAGGGCTGGGGTTTCGCGTGGGCCTTTCTCTGCTCACCCTCACATTCCTGCAGCCAGAGACTGTGTCTTCCCCCAGAGATGGCTCTTGTGACCCACTCGGGGCTTTGCACCCAACGCGTGCAGTGCCTGGAACATACACTGGTCCTCTGAGGGCGTGCAGGGTGGCTCCGTCCTCCAGGGCCGTGCAGGGTGGCTCTGCCCTTCGAGGCTGTGCAGGGTGGCTCTGTCCTTTGAGGCCATGCAGGGTGGCTCTGTCCTCCAGGGCCATGCGGGATGTGTCCATCCTCCAGGGCCGTGCAGGGTGGCTCCGTCCTCCAGGGCCGTGCAGGATGGTTCTGCCCTTCGAGGCTGTGCAGGGTGGCTCCGTCCTCCAGGGCTGTGCAGGGTGGCTCCGTCCTCCAGGGCCATGCAGGGTGGCTCTGTCCTTCGAGGCCGTGCAGGGTGGCTCTGTCCTCCAGGGCCGTGCAGGGTGGCTC